CACACATCCTAAAAAATCGAAGTCGTAGTCTTAGTTAGTCGAGGAAAACTTAAATACTTTTTCCACAAGCACGAGTGACTTTCCGAGGTTCTTCGGAACTTTCACATGGAACTCGTATAACCGTGAGATTATTCGTTCGACAGTTTTGGAAATGTCCTTCGGGGCATTTCGAAAGCGCTATATAAGGATGGCCATAACGAAACTTTTCCGAACTTGTTGCCCGTCGCGTGGAAACTTTCGGCCAAAGGTGCACGCTGTAAAATTGGTCGTGTTCCTACACGAGTAGTTTTTAAGAAGCCGTCTTCGTTCCCTCTTACGAGACGGCTAAACAACTTTCTCAACTTGTTGCCCAGAGCTATGTACGTCGTGCGTCAACAACGCTAGAGTGCTATCCTACGAGGACTCGTAAAATCGTTTCCCTTTTTCCAACGATACCGTGTGTTTTTTCTTTAGATCCCGTCTTTCTTTACAACTTCCTACTTAGATACTTTTATACGATATTCTAGTTCGATGCTAAAACTATGCCATGTTACGCATTGGCATTTCATTATTATTATTCATTTCATATCAAATTTTATTGAATTTCAGTATTGATGAATAGAGAGAAAATAATCGTTCCGAGTTAATAGACGAGTGACCCTGAAATCACGATACCGACGATTCGATTAAGTATTCCCATCAAGTGCCATTACGCCGATCGAAATTTAATAAACCTCGAACGTACCAAAGGCGACTATCTATATAATAAAAATATCTAAAAGCTTTGAGTACGCGGGAATTTTTCGAAAACTGTTTAATGTTTTATTACCAACGAAAAACGTTTTGTCATTCTTTGTTTCGTAGAAAGTATTTCGGTCGAATTCCTTTGTGCGAATCAAATTTCGATAAAAATGGTGAGTATACACCTCTAACATTTACACCCATATCCGTAACAATATTTATTGAAATGTAAAACCATGAAATTGTATCGAAATGATAAGACTTTTCTCTCTCTCTCTCTCTTCTTCATCCACTTTCATATATATTCTTTTATCTTCGTCGTAAGTAGAGGACAAAACGACGCTATACGTAAGGCGACAAGCTGATCTCCTTAAACTTTAAACTCGCAACCCTCCGGAGAGATCTCTCGACTCGAGACCATCTACTGTGATGAGGTGAATATTTTAGGTGACTCGAGTGTCCTCTGAAACACGCCGACGAAACTATTCGCCGTTGCGCTCGACATGGCATCCCAAATTTATGTTTAACCGATCCGAATAAATTGCAATTTTCTGGAACAGAAAATATAAGTCTAGAAAAGTTCCAACCAATCATGCGTCGTCGTAATACTCGATGAAGACTAACAAATCTATCAAAAATTACCATGAGAAATTAAACAAATATTGAAACAGTTCATAGAAAAAAAATTAATATTCGAACACGATCGCATAATATTCCACAGACTTTCTTTTTCGAAAAGGAAAGAACATTGATGATATTAAAATAATCTCTCGGTGAAAATTCTTTCAGCAATAAGTACCTAAAGCAAAAGTATTACAGAGATGGAAAGGAAAAAACCTTAGGGTGGACCGATAGATAGATAAGTTCCAATGTTCGAATCAAATAATTGCCATTTTTATCGAGAGAGCAAACAGAAGGGGCTCTCTTTGAATCTAAGGAAGACGTACGAACGTTCGAGAAACGATCACCAACATAGTTGTGAAAGTGTAAGAGGCTTTTATTCGGTCAGATTTACTCTACTCAACCCATCTTTTTTCTACCTACCCCTCCCCCCCCCCACGCCCCCTCCCTTCTAAACTATGCTTTTCCTCTTCCGTTCTTTTCCTCTCCCACTCTTTACTCCGAACTCTGCAAATTCAATCTTACCAGCGACCTCTAGCCGCCTACACAGTTTGTTCCGCCTATTGATTCCGGCTTCGTGCGAGGGTCTAACCCACGTCGGACTCTATCTACCTATATACCTACCTTTGTCTTTAACAATGAATTTTCTAGATGATGGTAAACTCACGTGGAAATGATAGGTACATTTCGAAGGTAGTTACTTGAATCCTTTTTTAACAAAGGACTGACAAAAGAAAAAACTCTTCGGGATAAATACGAATTACAAACTCAAACTCATAATCCGAATCGATACTAATGTATTATAAGTGACATCTGTAAAGAATATGGATGACATCGGTCGACGATAACTTCTTCCATTATGACAGCTCGACATCCGAATATCATCGATTCAAAGTTCCTATTCCACTAGTAAACGCAAAAGCGTATCCTACTGAGAGACATATTTTACAGAAATTCTAGATAGCTCTCGAGAAGATTCCCCGCCATTGGAGAAATTGTGCACGAATATAAATCACGTGGTAGAAAGGTAGTTGCGAATGTCTGGATGTAGCTGCACGTAAACGATAATCCATGCGCAATGTGATTAATAATAATTTGCTGGTCGGCATAAGCGGAACCGATTAGTCGGCTTAGCCGAGCGTTATGGTAATTGGAAGCCATTACCCGTCGAGTATTCTCTCTCTTTCTCTCTCCTGCCCTCTCTCTCTCTCTCTCTCACTCTTACTATTCTCTCTTTCTCTTACACCAAAAAAGCCTTGTGGCACTGCTACACCCTTCCCAATATCCTGTAATCTCTATCTTTCTCTCCACGTGATTTTATTCATTCATCTACATACGTCCGTTATCAGTTCCCATCATTGGTGGTCACTTATAACATTTAGAAACGATCAGCAAAATCGGTTATTCGGCGGGATTCACTATCGACATTCGAAAGTCTTAGATTTCCTACAACGATAAGTAAATGCCCTCGAGAAGGATTCACGAAGACGGATCGACTCGAAACCAAGTTTGATAAAAATAAGTGAGAGAAAGAGAGAGAGAATGAAAGGTGAGAGATGAGAAAAAGGTATTCTTAAGTTTCCAGGAAGAACACGATCATGTAAGGAACGCAGTGTGCTCTAAAGAAGAAGAGAACGAAAAGTAAAAAGTGATTGAAAAAAAAAAGAAAAGAGGGAATAAGAAGTAGGAAACCTGAAAAATCGTCGACGAAAGTCTTTAACGTGTATATGTGTATCTATGTATGCAGGTAGTATATATGTATATCGAAGTTCCTCTCAATCTTAGTTTCTTGAGAGATCTACCGTGAGATTCGACCTAAGGATTGCTGTGGTGGGAGAGGAGAAAGGAAAAGCAGACAAGCAGGAAGAAATGCAGGAACCGGATAATCCTCTGATCTCCATTGCCGACGTATCTCGAGTCAAGGGTGCTTCGCATCGTTGACCGCGTTACAAATCATTCGCATGAATGCCGATCTCGCACGAGCTCGTCACTATTTCTATTTATGTATAATATTACTATATATGTATGTATATATATATATATATTTCTCTTTCTCTTTCTCTTTCTCTTTCTTTACTCCTTCCATCTATCCTTTTCACTCATCGAATCGTAAAAAGAAAGAAATAAAATATACTAGCGAAAAAATTGGTTTAGTATCTTGAAAAGATTTTCTTCCACGCGTTAACAAAAAACTCTTAGCAAATTCGTAGCTTAGAAAAATTCGGTTTTGTAAATCTATTTAAAGCAGGCAGAAATCTCGGGCGAAATTTCTTTGACGTACCTTCTCGCATGACGTACGTTATATCAAGACAACGAGTAATTAGCATATTTTATTACGTTGAAGGTGCGAAGAGTGGCTCCATTACCGCCTTACTTAGCTTTTCAACGGAATGCGCGTGCGCCTGTAACCCTTTCCAGTGCGTTAAGTTACCAGAAACGGCCGTACTCTTAAATTTTAATTAATTGCACTCTCTAATTAGACTGAAGTTCTTGGCCCGGTAAAGTGCATTGCGTTAAATTCAACGAAGAGCTAGCACCAAACACTTGCACGGAATTAGTAATTAAGTACTCGAGACAATTCCGGAAGCGAGCCAGCGTGACGGCCCTGTAATTGCTGGACACTATAGGGATTTCAATTCTCCCGCATCGAGGATTTGCATACTTTGTGTTTTGTATGCGGCGTGCATACAATCCGTAGGTATTACGAAATTCGGCCACGACTCGAATTTCTCCCTCGAACGTCGTTATAAACGAGTTACGTCACTCCCTCGAATGTCGTTACGCGTTCCGCGTTTTACCAGGCTCGCAGCCCTTTTTCAAAGCAAAAACCAGTACCACGCGAAATCACCGTAGTTTTTCATACGATAAATTCACTACGGAAACCGGACGAACGTACAGGCCGTCTCATGGCAGAAAAAGAAAGTTCGAACAATGGATTGTCCTTGAATTAAAAAAATCTTTGACAGAAACTTTGATAAAGTCAATTGAATTTCGAATGATTTATACAGAACCAAAGTATTGATTTTTTTTTACGTATCGTTTTAACTGTCGAAACAAAATCGTCCGATATAGGAGATATACGTTTCTTTATTACATCGCGAAAAACGTAATTTAAATTGTATCCTCGCTATTGCACAGGTGCGATGACCTAAGTAATTAGGCCAAAGTGTCTTCACACGATGTTGAGTCTCTAACATAGTAGTATGGTACTGACTCGTACCTTCGCACTTTCGATCAAACCATTATAGCGAAGTAGCTGCCTGATACACTCCACCGAGTATAACTTGTCCAACGTATTACCTAGCACGGTAATTGTATAACGTAACACATCGATCCATGTCTTCAATAACTACGCGTAACATGCTCCATTAATCGAATTTAAAATCTCGCGAAGTCATCTCAAAGATATTGTTTTAAACTATGAGCCCCCGTCCATAGTTCATCGTAAGAGTTATCAGATAATTTATAAACATACTCATTAAAATAATAAAAATAATCTTGTTATAGGAAGATTATTATTTTTCGGAAATAAAATTATCACTCGATAAAAGATTGAAAAAAAAAAAAAAATAGAAAAAACAAACACGATGTTAAGAGATCGAAAGAATGGAAAATACTTTACCAGTATTTAGGTAACGATTTTTTTACTTTGTTCGCAGGTGTTGCTGCAGTTGTGACGTCTGCCGGTGGCCATGGTTTTGATGCACATTTACGTGGTCCGAGTTTCCTCATAGAACCACCATTGAGGGTGGAATTTTCAAATTCGAGCGGTGCCTGGCTGGATTGTACGGCATCCGGAAGCCCTCCACCTAATATCGACTGGTCGACTGCAGATGGACATCCAGTAAATGACGTACCAACCGTGCGAAGGGTACTCAGGAACGGTACACTCGTCCTCTTACCTTTTCCGGCAGCAGCTTATCGTCAAGACGTACACAGTGCAGCATATAGATGCGTCGCAAGTAATTCTGTTGGCAGGGTACTTAGTCGTGACGTCCAAGTTAGAGCAGGTATGTGTTTAAACAAACAAAATCAAATGAAACAAAAATTAAATCCAGTTACGTATATAATTGCGATCGATAAAAGAGTCCTATTTCATTTTTAACGAGATATATTATCACTGAATAATATTATCATATATTTAATTAGTTAAATATTTAATTCCATTAAAATATTTCATCGATACATTCCAGAAATAGCGTATTCGTCATTTATAACGGAAGAGAAAGAGATAGAAAGATGAATTTAACTTTTATATTCCTTTTTAATGAACGAAAGCCCCTTTACCGCTGATACCCTTTGTGCATGCACCTACGGTATTATCGATTCCCGGAAAAGAGAGCACCGGCACCGACGCTCTTTTATATAAAGCAGATATTAACTTAGGATAGTCGAGAGAGAATAAAAAAAAAAAAAAAGAAAAAAAAAGGAATGACTCTCTGAAAAAGAGCAATCCAGAGCGATCGATGTTCCCCGCTACGAATTTTTTTCTTCGTCTCTTGCAGTCAGAGCTACAATATAACACAAAAAAAAAGAAAAAGAAAAAGGGGGAAAAAAAGAAACAAACAAAAACGAAGAAAAAAAGAAGGAGAAGAAAATGGAATAAAAAGTTCGATTATAATTCGATCTCCGAGGCAAAAGTTTAATCAGATTTCGTTTATATTCGCTATGCGCGATACAAAGAGAAAATTTGAAACGAAATCTGTTGGGAGGAAAGGGAGGAGGAGGAGGAGGAGGAGGATGCGGTCAACCTACAGCAGCATCGTTGGATTTCTACCTTTCTGTGAAGCGTACTGAACTCATGGTGTAATTATCTCTTAAAAAAAAAGAAAGAACGAAAGAAAAAAAGAACATACGTACATACACACACACACAGAGAAATACGCTTACACATATATAATTCGAATGCAAATCCGTGATGATAACAGTGCGAAGCCAACTCAACGTTCTCTCTGCGCTGCCAACTACCAGCTTCCCTTCATGACTATAAAGTTCTAGTCCAGATGTGTGCCCGTTAATTAAAACTTTACTTCCTGGCATTCGGCTTAACGAAAGAAATTTCTATCGCAAGGCCGACCAGTCGAAAACTATCCAGGGGATCAAAGTTCTCGAACAGACGGCGCGAAGAGACGAAAGTCCGCTAATGCAACTAACTGGAGAAGAAAAAGAAAAAGAAAAAGAAAAAGAAAAAGGAAAAAAGAAGCAAGATGAAAAAGGAAAAGGGTGAAGAGAGAGAGAAAAAAAAAGAAGAAAAAATAAACGACGTTGGAAAGATAGAAAATAATATTCGGCAAAAATGCGCATACTTAACTGTTACCCCATGCATAACTTTCGGTTGTTGTTGAAAAAGATAGAAAGACAGAGGAAAAGTGACAAATTTCCCTCGAGAAGGTATCATACAGAAATTTGAAAAGGTACCCATATATATATTATATATATCGTTGGTGTTCCCAAGCATTGCCCTATAGGCATTATTTGTTCGTGAAAAATACTATCTCTGGTAGTACGATCCTTCTCGGTAGGACAAGTCGAAGTAAAAACGTTGGAGCGAGAATGAAGCTTGGATGAGGAGTTATATATAAGAGGGCGGGGCGGGTAAAGAGGGGCAGAGGGGTGGTGAGAGAGAGTGAGGGGCGTAAAAAGGAGCAAGAAAATAGGAGGCAAACTTCCGGGTGACGGCTCCCTCGACTGGCGAATTTTTCGAAGAAAAGAAAAGAGTAAGATCAACGAACGAGTTTCTTATTCGAGAAAAAGAAATGGAAAGAAAGAAAGAGAGAGAGAAATAGAGAGAAAAAGGACGAAGGAAAGAGAAGCAGAAAGACAAAAAAGAAAAAAAAAAAAAAGAAAAGAGATAGAACGAGAAAGAAGAAAGAGAGGAGGAAAAAGGGCAGGAAGGGAGTCTTCTTGGCGTCGCGACGTCGTGTCAAGCTACACCATCGGGTGGCAGCTGGCCGTCGCCCTTGGAATTTCCACGTAAATAAAATCTCTGGAAGAGTATAGTGCCTGCCTCTTGAGCGTGAGGACGACGGGAGAAACAAAAAGAAAAAGAAAAAGAAAAAGAGAAGAGGAGAAAAACACGAGCAAAGCAGACGCCGGGGACGAGACGTTCGTTACAGCAACGTCACCTCACGCCTCACCGCTTTCTCGACGCCGACGCCAATGTCGAGATTCACCAAAAGTCTACGAATAACGACGTGACACCCTATGTGATGCCTACGATATCACGATTTTATATATATACCCGTATATTTATATTTTTATATGTATTCATATAGATATGTATAAATTTTATACATTTCTACTCTTTCTCTCATATGAATAATAATAATAATAATAATAATAATAATAATAATAATAGTAGTAGTAGTAAATGCTTTTGCGAATGAACGAAAATATTATTTCTCTCTCTAATTTGAAATTTTCTTCTGAAACATTTTAATTATATATATATATATTCTTTATATTAGACGTATATTTAAATGAAAATTTAACGATTTAATACTAATCTTAATTCTTTGAAACGCGATAAAGTTAAAAAATTGGGATACATATTTAATATTTATTTAATATATTATAATTGACGCGAGAAATTTTGTTTATACCATCTCGAAAAATTAAAACAACTACCAGCAACAGCGAAAGGGAGTATTTACGTTTCTTTATAAGAAGTAAATAATTAAATAACTGTGGATTTTTTTTTCCTTTTTTTGTAATATAAATTGCCTAATACTTAAAATAAACGTACTTTGTTTTAATTATATGCGAAAAAGGTTTCTATGCAAAATAAGATTGTTTTGTATTTTAAAATTTCGTACTTTAAAAAGAATTTTACTTTAAAATCCTCATTTATCGTTGTTTTCTGTTAACAGTCGTCGCTCAGGCCTACAAAGTGGACGTGGAGGTAATCGGAGGTGCATCGAAAGGATGCACGGCGATACTAAGATGCGTCGTTCCTAGTTTCGTCAAAGATTTAGTGCGTGTTGTATCCTGGATTCAGGAACCATCTTCTTACATTTATCCTTCGTTACAAGGAGGTAATTCCAATCATTTCTCTTGTTTTATATTTTATTTTTGTTTTTCACCTTATCGCACCAGCAACTATAATTAGTTGAATTTTTATTTTCCACCATTAATTTTCTCTAGCTTTACGAGCAACGAGAATTCCGTTAACATTAATATGCGTGCAACGTTCTAACCATTATAACGTAATGAACGACTGTAATCTAAAATATTTGCGAACAGAAAAGTCTACAAAGAGATGACAAAAATCCAGTAGTTTCTAGCAGAGAGAGGATATATCTTTGGAGCATGGTGTGCAATGTCCAAAGAATTATAGTAGATGCCGTCAAAATGATTTTCACGCGTGTATGTTAAAACTACGAAGTATGATGACGGTTGGGTCATTGCTTACCGAGACTAAAATTTAATATCCGACACGAGGGCTGTTTCACCAGACCGAAATTTAATATCCACAATAATCCTGTAACACCTTTCTATCTTCAACAACGATAAGGTAGGTACGAAGATTGTCGAGGACATCGACCTCGGGGAACCCACGACGACTCATTAGCAGTCACAGAAATTAATCCGATTCAAAGCTAGTGAATACTTTTTTGCGAAAGAGATCGTCAGATTAAAAAAAAAGAAAAACAAAAACGAGAAGATAAAAAAGAAATAAAAAAAAATAAAATATTTAAAGGTATCTCCGTATCTTCTTTCTCAATTGCTATAATTACGACTTAGCTCGTGTAATTAAAATTAATACTATTTAAAATATACTCTGCTTCTCTAATTAAATTCGTCTCATTCTTCGTATAATTTTTTCTTTTTTTACATTTTAAATATATTTTTATATACATAGTATGTAAAAAAAAAATGTCGTATTTTATTTTAAATCGTAGTTGTCATTTATTCAATTCGTAGTAGTGAAACTCGCAAAGAATTGTGCAAAATTTAAGTGATCCGACAATATGCGTTCACTATAGTACATGGAAAGGGAACGCAGGACAACGCAGTTGGACGCTCTCCAAGTGACTATTGTCACAAGCTATTCGAATAACGACCGGTCCGCCTGGTATAACTTTTATTTGACAGGAACAAAAAAAAAACATCATAAAATTTGTGCCCTCTACGAAACGAAGAAAAAATAGAAATAAACGGGAAAAACGTGTTTGGCTATTAACTACGTCAAAAATATCCACGTTCGAAAATGTTTTAATGTAAACATGACATATTTTATTATCGAGTATGTCTCTTACTTTTGTTTAATCGTTGCGCACAGAGAAAGATATTTTCTCTACGATCGTGTTAAATTAAAAATAGTAATCTAACGCGATTTCTCTTCGTGTATCCAAGAGAATTTAATGAAAACAGCAAGCAAGCAAAACTCACGCGTACGATAATATTTTCTACATTTTCCAAAATTACCACGATACAACAGCGCAAAATTCTGCATAACGCACAACACTAATTTACATATATCGAAGCAATATTTTCGTACACATACCAGATCCCAGTTGGCAGTATTGGCGGAACCAGACCATGCGTAATTCGATGCAGGTACAGTAACTGAACTACATTGGTGTCCTATCTACCTTCAATGGGATGCATACATACACCTCCCTATAGGTTCTATCGAATGTAATACCTAAACTACATAATCTAGCCGGTCCACCTGACTTGGCCGACAATCGCTATTTAGGAGTCTACCCTTATCAGAGACTAGGTCTTAGTTCGGTTAATGTCTCGCGACTAAACGTGCTTCCTATAGGAGTATCATTAGCTCTTAGTTAGCTATTGATAATACTACTATCTGTAGTTTTGAAAAATAATAATTCTATCGAAATGATTGATCTAGAAAAATCATTTAAAACATTTTAATGAAAATCAACGTTTAAACTTCATCCAATTTCGAATGTAACGATTTTACAATTCAAGGAAATGAGCACGCAGTAATATTAGTCGTCCCTGCACGTACCTATGGAATCTTCGTAAAATCTTAGATAGTGGAACTTCAAAGGCAAATTCGTAGAGAACGCTTTAAAGACTACTTGCAGAGATTCGAGTTTCGAGAACAGGCGTGACTGTTTAGGATAACTACCGTCGTTAGCGTCGACTCCGGCTTATCTAAAGAGACTCGAAAGCTTAAGTACGGTTGGTCTTTGGGAATAGGATCTCTATATCACGTTGTTGGAGACAGAAAGAGGAACGAAAAGAAAGAGAGAGAGAGAGTAGGCGACCAGAGAATCATAAAATTAGCATAATTATCATCCTGAGGGATCAGTTCGCTAAAAAATATCGTAATCCATTAAAATTCACAGTATCAAACCTATTAAAGATAACTCCTACTAAATCGAATTTTATTGGAAAATGTTAATATCAGTTATTAAACTAGTTCGATATAAATAATACAGGATATCAAATCCATATTAATCACATAGCAATTATACTATTATACATTCGTACGGTATATATGTTACCGTCAAAACCAGAAATCAGATATTGCAATGCTGTAAATTGTACAACTTTCCTATTTCTTTGAAAAGTTTTCGTAAATATTTTTTATACTAAAAACGAATAGATTTTAATGAAACTTATATTAAATTAAAGTACACTCTTTTGTCTACGCGTAGAACACCATATCGAGTTATAAATTTAGCATGTAAAATTCAGAAAATGTCAGAGAATGCAATGTTGTAAATTGTGCAGCTTTGCAATTTCTTTGAAAAGTTTTGGTAAATATTTTTTATACTAAAAGTGAATAGATTTTAATGAAACTTATATTAAATTAAAGTACACTCTTTTCCCTATGCGTAGAATACCATATATCTGAACGTAGTCTTCTACATTATGTTAAAAGAAAAACAAAATAAATATGTAAAGTGTTCATAGTGATCTGTGTTGGCTGTTTTAGATGGAAAATTTCATTTATTACCAACCGGCGAACTTCTCGTTCACAGTCTCGAATTTAGCGATCAATTACACGGATATAAATGTCGAACGATGCATCGATTGACCAGACTAGTGGTTGTTAGTTCGGCTGCTAATATTAGAATAGCTGGTAAGTTTGTTTATTTGTATATATTATTACAATCGGAATATTTATAATCCTAAGCTAAGAGATCTAAGTTGAAATTGACTTAGTTACCTGTCATTAATTCAAGACCTAAACATTTGCTTTCAGATCACAGGGGAATAATGCCACCGGTTATGCTCGAAAATTCCGGTGTTGTTCACGTCGCTCAAGACGAATCAACGTCACTGGTCTGCGTCGCACAAGCTTGTCCTCCACCCGAATATCGGTAAGTCTATTTTAATCCTGTATATCCAAAGGATTACGATTAAAAAATAAATAAACGTTCTGCGATGTATTCTTATTAAACAAGATATTCCTTAAAATATCGAACGAGAAGTTATAAAGCTCGTAAAAATCAGCTTAGAATTCAAAACTTCATGAATCCTCGGCGAAAGACTATTGAATGCGGACCGTTGAACTGTCGAATTGGAAAAAAAAAAAAAGAGAGAGCAAAAAGAAAGGCAAGGAGAGAAAGGAAGATAGATAGAACGCAAAGATCGTTCCCTTCCTCTCTAATCCATTTCATTCTTCAAGGAGAAATTACGATCGAACTACGAGTAGAATAAGAGGATAGAAGAAGAAGAAGCAGTAGAAGAAGAAGAATAAGAAGAAGAAGAACAAGAACAAGGGATTCGAAGAGAAAAAGGAGGATGAAAGAGATAAGAAGGAGAAGGAGGAAAAGAACGGGCAAAGAAGCGTTCCAAGTGGAAAGGAAAGAAAAGGAACAAGGATGCGGCCCGACTTTGATCGAGGAAAAGTGGAAGCGCACTCGATCGTGAAACCTCGCGAGTAGGGCGCAATCGGAAGCTCTTCATGTCGCCCAGGTCGACGAGAAGCTCTCTCTACTTCGACGTTTTCCCTCTCGGAATTCTTTTTTTGATTTCTCTGTCTTCTCTTTCTCTCTCTCTCTCATTCTCTATCCCGATTTCCAACTACCTTCCTTCTCCTACAAAACCCTCCCTCCTACCCTGCCACGCCTCGACCCACCTATCCTACACCCCCCCCCTCATCCCCGTTCACTCCGCACGCCAATACGAAGCGGAAAATATTCGTCGAAATGAAAATTTATTGCCAATATTGAAATACAGCTGGTCTGTCTTCTCTTTACGTAGCACAAGAGCGATTGCTCTAATGAAAAATATACAATAACAGTAGATCCTACGATATTGATAGATACATTTTCATTCGAAATCAATTTTTACAATTCAAAGAAGTCAAGATTTTTCTCTTAGTAACTAGATATTTCATATTTTTTTCCATTGGATATTTTTTCAATTAATATCCTCCTTCGTAAGTAAATATCGTCTATGTTAAATTAAAGATCGTTAATTAGACTTTTTTGGCTGGAAATGATTAATGTAGCTTACACACACACATTGTTTAAAATTTTATAAATAATTTAATTTACTAGTGATTACTCTCCATAAAAAGTATTGAGAACAGTACATGTGAAAGCATTAACAAAAAACATACTTTTCCCAAACCTGATACTTAACAAATTAAAAACTTAAATTAGCATAAATGTTTACTTTTAGCTTATCATAAACGATATGGTAAAAGCATCAACGATTGACATCGTATGAATAATCTAACATATTTTCAGGAAATTATGAAAAATAAGAGATTTTCCAAAATAATAAGTTATCGAAAAAGACACGATGGATGTACTGTATCATCTAACGTAACTTTTGGAAAGCTTATTTTTCATATTTTCTTGAATAATGATCGACTACTAACACGAGATCAATTACACGGGTGCCTTTACCTTAACTCGGTATAATGGAATTTTTTTTTTTTTTTTGACATTAAGTCAAGTTCGCTATATATAATAGTTCCGTATCAAGTTTTCGAATTTAGACAACGAATTTGTGTTCCTTTTTTTCCCATTAACTTTCAACAGGACATTGAAGTTGAGGACGGATCAACTTCTCTCTATCTCCGCTTACTTCCCTTTTGCTCTCGAAACTTTGCTACAAAGTGAAATCCCCCGTGGAACCACGTCCATTACGTATTACTAAGAAGAGAGATAGTATAAAGAAAACGTACGATAAATGGAGAAGGACGGAAGGAAATGGAGGAGGGTGAAACAAAAAGAGATAGAGAGAGAGAGAACGAGAGATAAAGGAAGAAGGAGAGTGGGTCGAACGTGCCTTGATCGAGAACTGTCAAGAACTTGGAAAGGCGAAGGGAAGCCGAGGATTCAAGGGATAAATGCTCATGGATACGACTCAACGTCGTTTCTAGGTCGACGTATACCGAAAACCAACCAGTAAAATTAAACTCCTTGCCTCGAAGCGAATCTTCCTTATTGGATAGCCTGAAATTTCGATGAAAAATTATTTCATACGTCGGTGAAAATGAACAAACATCATACATTGAGAAATTCGAACGACTTCCAACTCGTTATATACAGAATATTCTTAAGGTTCATTTATCGAACTGAAAATATAATCAATTTTTTGTTGAAATGTATATAATATTTAAAACGATGGCATCGTTTTTTCTTTGTTTATATTTTTATCTCCAACTTCTTCTGCAATTTGTTCAAAGTGGACATTCGGCAAATTCGTTTAACAATAAGTGTAGTTATATCACGTAAATGTTGTCAGTAGAGAACATCTTTACAATAGGTAAGAAAGAATTGTCTTACGTTATGGCATCATAGATATTTACTATTTGAACAACACTTTAACTAGAGATTCATATCTTAATATATGAAAAACAAGATATTGTTATTCAATATGACTACTTATCTTTAGATTTGTAATTTAATAATTTGCATTGCAAATGACAATTTTTATTAACAATGTAAATCTCAATATAACGTTTAAATTATATAACTAATCGTATCATCGTTTTATTGATTGTATTCTCATTACCATCGGTAAACGAATACAAATTACTCTACTAATGATATATTAATATAAATGTTTCAACTATCGATAATACAATTAAAGTCTTTATTTTTCTATATTCCCTTAAAGGTGGTACGCACAGACAGGTGCGGAACCAATGTTAGTCTTGTCTGGACCGAGAACTCGTTTACTCGGTTCTATGCTGGCCATAGAAGCCGTAACGCTGGAAGATAGTGGTATTTATAGGTGCTCTGCATCAAATCCCGGCGGTGAAGCTAGCGCCGAAATCAGGTAATTGGAGATTTCAATGGGTAGAAATTATAACAATAGATATTTATAAGATACAACTCAAAGACAAAATTAATAAAGCATATACGAAATTGCATTCTCATTAATAATCCAGAAATTTGAATTGCAAATTTCGAAAAAGATCAGAAATAGGAATTGCTCATTTTTCAGACTCATAGTGACGGCACCACTTCACGTTGAAGTAACGCCACCCTTACTGAGCGTTCATTTGGGTGGTAACGCCGAATTCAAGTGTGAGGTTGGTATACATCCTCAAGCTGGACCACACTTTATCACCTGGTACAAGGACGGTAGGCAGCTTCCGGGCACTGGAAGACAATCAGAATTATTGAGGCTAAATGGTATAGGTAGAGATGACAGGGGAATGTATCAGTGCATCGTCAGAAGGTCAGAGGGTGATACAGCCCAGGCCTCCGCGGAATTGCAATTGGGAGGTACGTATGATCCTCTCTTCTGTTATCGTCTAAATCGATCTTTCGTTCCTATCCTCGTGTCTTCTCATCTTCCATTGGAACGTGATTACAAAGCGAACGTATTTAGTATTTGCACAAATTTCGAGCTATCGAAATCAATCGTTATGTCATGTTGATACATATGTAATAGGTTCCTTTCTGCAAAAAAAAAAAAAAAGGTACGAAAATTTAGAGTAAATGAACGTAAAGCAAGCGCAAAATACCGACCCTATCATATTACAGCTATGAAGCTTTCCTCCAATGGCAATTATTGCGTTACTGCATTTTATGATCGCTTGCACTTTGTGCCGTCCATCAGCTGAATTATTAATAGAAATCATTTAACAGCCCATTAGTCGGTGTGTACTTTATCGGTAGGAAAAGCAAATACATATTAGCCAGGAAAACGAAATTAAACGCTTCTATCTGATGTATTTTTTATTACATCCTACAAAGTTGTGTGATCGAAATTTTCGGAAGTTAATGTAAACGAATTTAATAATGATAAATACTTTTCCATTTAATCTTCTTCTTCCTTGTATTTCAAATACATACGTTTGGATTTAACACATAATATACGTGCAATATCCGAAAAAGGAAAGGGACAAACTCGATAAACGTTTCTCTTTTACTTTCACGGTCAAAGGTGCCAGGTACCGAGAAATGTTGAACGAAGGATTCAGCCTCGAGATCGGTCTGGTTGCGTTACCGATTGAGTTACAGAGGACTCGATTACTTGGCAAAGAGCAAGGTAACCGCGTGCCACGTTGTTGGGAGAGTAACGGTGTACTTTGAAGTGGAGAAGGCTTCTTTTACGGCGCTTTGCAATGTGCTTCGTTTCTCTTTCTCCTTCTCTCTCTCTCTCTCTCTCTCTCTCTCTCTCTCTCTCTCTAACTCTAACTCTTGTTCTCTTCTATCATCCTCTTTGCCTTTCTCGATCTCATTTTCTGTCTCCCTCTATCTCTATTCCTCTATTTCTCTCGCTCACGGTCTACCGAGGCAGGTACCCCAGAACGAAGCACCTCCACCCCTGTTTGCCCTATATCTGGACCACCTATCTATGGGTGCGGGGTATTTCATGAAAGAGGAGAGCATACCGTAAGCAGGAGTGGAAAGAGACGATAGGAGGGCCTTTGAAACAACAATGAAGTTAGCGTCTCTCGCTCGTCAGCGTTAGTAATGCACGGAATTTACGTCAAAGGGAATTCGTGCAAGCGACGCTATAGGAAGGACACTATTGCTAGAGAACGAGAAAGAGAAAGAGAGAAAGAGAGAGAAATTTGATGATCGCTTTTCTGCAATTTCATCCGAGAATACCTAACAAGAAAAAGATGAAGGGGTATGGACGGAAAGGTAACGATCTTTTTCTGCAACGGACGCTTAAGTGTAAGTTCGAAGAAGATTCTTCGATCTTCGAAAAATACTGAAAACCTTTCGGGCGTGGTCTTTGAAGTGTATCTCGATCGAACGTATTTCGAATTTAAAAGAATATAAGAAGAACGGAAAGACACTATTTCGATGTTATGATATTTGAGTTAATGCTTTTTCAAACACACAATTTCTTTTAGAAGACAATAATCTTAATCTTTAAACTCCGATAATTCAAAAATCTTGTTAAAATAATATCTTTGGATTTAAAAGAGTATTTTCTCCATTTCGATTCAACATTGAAAGAAATATGCAAGACAATTTTTCGATGACAGCATGATCGTCTTCGTTAAAAAAGTAATATATTTTTGACGTTTCTCAATATCGTTGGAAAAAAATGAAAAATTTATGCGAAATGAAATAGATTGTCTCTAAATTTTAGAATCTACCTAGATCTTTCCTGTTGGGTAGCAGAGAAAAAAAAAATAAAAATAAGCATAAAAAACATCAGATCGACTTGCAAATTCGTGTTCGTCGATGTTCCACTTTCTAAAACAAATTTATGTAGGGAATTTTATCGGTGTTCTGACGCGCAACTGTCGAATAACACATACCAAATCCTACTATATGTAGATGAATATCCGAACGCGTTATGTTGAATGTAAAACATCATCTTCTTTTCATTCGATTCGAAAGTCAATATTTAAAAAAGAAAATAAAAAAAAAAAAAGAAAGAAAAAAACCCAATGAAAATACACATAAAAAGGAAGAAAAAAAAAATAAGTTGTATTTGTCGACAAGAGACGTAGGGTTTCTCAAGTTGAATTCGATCTGCATGCTCGTCATAACGTCGACAAGATATAAAACTAGAACAATTCATCCCAGGCGACACGGCATCGTTATCTCTCGTAATCACGACATCGCATATTTTTCCACGACGAGAGAAAAAAAAAAAAAAGAAAGATTATATTTGCCGATACCATCTTGCTGGTAGATATAGATAGGAAAAGCATTATCCGGCCGTAGGAGGCCCCATTTTGTCCTGGCTTACGCACCTCGTGCACGCTTCTCGAGTTCTCCCGCACATTAAAGGAGCATTGATGATCGCTCGGAGGCATTGAGACGAGGTTCATCAATTTTAACATGGATCCGCGAACTCGGTCCGCAAAACCAGTTTATTCACCTGCAGACGAAAGCTTTCTTTCTTCCATTCTTTACATATACATATATAAACATATTTGTTTTGCGTATACATATCTATCTATCTATCTGTCTTCTTCTTCTTCTTCTTCTTTATCTTCTTCTTCTTTTACTACTTTTTCTTCTTCTTTTTCTTTCTGACTTCACCTTCTTTTATTTGTCTTCGTACGTACTACCCATTAAACAACCCGTTCGTTCTTTATAAAAACGACGTTCATACAAAACTCTTTTAATGGCGATGAAATCGACACTTTTAATTACAACCTGAAACTTCCTCTCTCGTTCTCTCTTTCTCTCTTTCTTTCTTTCTTTTTTTCTTCTATCTCTTTCAGAACGACCAACGAGAATTCGTCCTCGACAGCAACATCGTTCGATCTCGAATCTGATTGTGAGCGCAATAGATAGTGCACTCCAATTCTTTTTCTCTTTCATTCTGTCTCCTTCCTTCCTTCCTTCCTTCACTTCCTCCTTCTCTCGTCTATGCTTGTCAACGATGTAGGAACATCGAAAAAAAATTCATGGAGCTTCCATAGCAGCGAGCTCATTGTCCCTCCACTTCCAACAGTTCGAACGTGATGCGCGCGCCAAGCGTATCGCCTTTCAAAAAATCTATTCTCTCTTTTTCTTCCTCACCCTTCTCTCTCATCCTTCTTTTACGAAGACTCGTTCTCATATTGTTTATGAAGCATCATCATTATAAACATAGAACGTAAGCACGGAACTTAGTAACATTAATATTTCATGCTTATCTCCGTTTAAATAATGGATTATTATTATTTCTTTTAAAGACTAAAGGGTGTATGGTAATTGACAACTCTCTCTGTTAACGTTGATGTGTCAAAGTATATATAGAAATAAATAAATATATCCCTTTAGTTGAACAATAATACGAAGCTTTTGAAATATTTCGAACAATCGTCACATATAAGCTCGACAAAACATAAGTTGAGAACTTGAATAGGCGATGAGGATAAAAGTGGACATTTTTTGAATAATTTTGGACTTTGTGTTTTAGACGCACCACCGGTCCTTCTCTATTCGTTCATCGAGCAGACTCTTCAACCAGGGCCAGCCGTGTCATTAAAATGTTCCGCTGCTGGAAATCCAACGCCGCAGGTCACGTGGGCTTTAGATGGTTTCCCCTTACCGACTAATGGAAGGTAATCCATCCGAATCGTGCAGAATTTTTTTGTTAAAAGGAAATACCTTTGAAATTCGTTGTATCGATATTATTGGCATGAATATTGGAAAAAAAGCAAACAAACAAATATTTGAACGCTAAATTGAATAGATCACACACACACACACATACCGAGTAACAAATAAATATTTCTTTTTACTTTTTCCGTATATTCAGCATATCGTAATATGCAGAAACATTTATATTCGTATATGCGTAAAATGTTTTTCTCACTATAACTACTTCAATTTCATGATTATCTATCTAGAAACGAGAATATTTATTGCGTTGATCAAAGATGGCAAATATCAACAAAGGTAGACTGCAAGATAAAAATACACTTTGATATGCCGCGAGCTATTCTTCCTTTCTATCATCTATCGTATATTTTAACGACTGATCGACATAAGATATGCTTCTCTTTCTCTATTTTTCCTTTCCGATCTCGTCATATTGTTATGGCTTCTTCTTATTCTCACATTTTTCCTTCCATCATGAAAAAAAAACGTATTTATTCGATCAACATCAACTCGTTATGGATAATAAACATATTCCCTGTTTTCTCAATATGGTTAAAACGTAATATAAAATTTGACGATATTATTCGTTGTAATAAAAATATTCGTGTAAATTCCTCTAATTTGAGCGATCCTCGAATACTGTTTTTAAGGTTCGTCATTGGACAATATGTGACGGTACACGGTGATGTAATATCGCACGTTAATGTTAGTCACGTAATGGTCGAAGACGGTGGAGAATATTCCTGTACAGCCGAAAATCGTGCCGGAAAAGTTACGCATGCTGCACGTCTTAACGTTTACGGTAATTAACGGCTACGATAGAAGTAGTCCTTTCCTTGTTCATACAATTGTAAAAACTATATTATTTTTCTCAGGTTTACCTTACATTCGACTAATTCCAAAAGTAACCGCAGTTGATGGTGAGCAGCTTCGTTTGAAGTGTCCAGTAGCAGGGTATCCGATAGAAGAAATCAAATGGGAACGAGCAAATCGCGAATTACCAGATCATCTTCGACAGAAGGTACATTCAGACGGTACCTTGGTGATAACCAACGTACAAAAGAAGACCGACGCTGGAGTATACACCTGCTGGGCACGTAACAAGCAAGGACACAGCGCGAGAAGATCCGGAGACGTCGCAGTAATCGGTAAGGCTTTCATTTCGAAATTCCAAATTTACAGAAATGTCGTAGGTCTAACGAAACTAGCTACTCGAAGAACAAGAGGACAAGATCTAACGAGAGAACTCGATTGAGGAAAAAATCCAAAAACTTATATTTTCGAATGAGCAAAGAAGAAATTATCCAACAAACAAGGAAGAAGATAAATAATCAATTGCAGAGAAAAATGCAGTCCTGTTGAGATGGAGAGATCAAGGACAACAGATTAGAGCTCGCCCTATGCCTTTCTCAACGCTCACGAACAATCGTTATTGTTATTTCAGTTCCCCCAAAAATTAGCCCGTTCAGGACAGATCTCGATTTTCATCTCGGCGAACGAACGACCCTAACTTGTTCGGTGACGAAGGGCGATCAGCCATTATCCATTTCGTGGCTCAAGGACGGAAGGTCGTTGGGACCATCGGAACGTGTCACTGTTACCAATGTGGACCAGTACAATAGCATACTGATGATTGAAAGTTTGTCTCCAGATCACAACGGCAACTACTCGTGCGTGGCCCGTAATTTGGCCGCAGAGGTATCGCACACGCAGCAGCTAATGGTTCATGGTAATCCTCCTCTAGGCCCCCTTCAATTTTGCCCGACGACCGCCTGGCCGCCCGAATTTATGCGTGCGTGGATGTTGTTTGAGTGTGAGAGATCTGCTCGAAGATCGTGAGCGATTTCAGGAACTCGTAAGCGTTTTCACATCTATCTCTCACTTTTAATACTTTCATTGATAATATATTTTACTCTTAACGCGCATTATTCTATTGAACTATATTTCAATTGTTGTTTTTTAATTGTAAATGCGCTTAAGCCAAACTATCGCGAACGCTCGATTCCTGCGCGCTGCTTCGAGAAGACATACTCTTTCGATGCCTCTCCTAACGTCACTAGGAACGTAGAGACCTGGTTAATCCAATGACAACTCACGCTTAGCGTGAGAGCTATTCCTCGTGCACGAAACCTAACCCTTTTCAATTTTATTCTGTTTCCTATTTCGACGATTTTTCTCCTTCCCGACCTATCGACAATCCACGGATTTTCTCCATGAGTACATTCTTAAAATACATCTTTCTCAAATATGTTTTATTAATTTCGTTGAAAAAGAATAACCATTTCAGGAAAGTTATTCACCTGGAGTGATGCTCGGTCGAAGAAAACAGCATGTATATACCTCGATCGAAAACACGAATACTCCTATTTATTACTCATAGAAGAAAGACGTGAGAATATCGAAAGGACGTCGAATGCTCGCTCTTTTTTTGCGTTAAAACGAACGTACGTTTGTGTGAGTGGTGCGATGCTAATGATTATGTGTAAAAGTGAGGGCGGCAGGTTCTGGTCCGCGGCGGGGCCACCCTCTCTCTCCTCTACATTGCTACGTTACTATACTGCCTCTATTGTACATATATTCTATATATATACATATTATATTCCATATATACATGGACGTACTACTGTCTATAATATATATATACATACTTATACTATCAACTATGATGCTATATATATATATACTTATACATACATATATATATTATGACACATATTACCTGGTACCAGGTTCTTGCGTTTTTTTGGTGCCATCTTTTTCTCGCTCTCACGTATGGTTCTCTCTTCTCTCTTGACCTTTTCCAGTACCCCCTATTATTGAGCCATTTACGTTCCAAGAGGGCCTTTCCGAGGGGATGCGGACGCGGACGGTGTGCGGGGTCGCGGCGGGKGATCCACCCCTAACCATATCCTGGCTGAAAGACGGCCAAAGTCCTTTTTCCTTGCTGCCGAATCTGGCCTCCGTTGCAAACATCTCCCAACTGGATTCCTACTCTAGCCTACTCAGTATAACGAACCTCGCGGCCGAGCACTCCGGCGACTATACCTGCGTCGCCGCGAACCCCGCCGCCGAGGTCAGGTACACGGCCAAGCTACAGGTAAAAGGTAACTAGATGATCGGCGACCCTTATCCATCACGATTTTTCCTGATTATATCCAATAAACCTCGATTCTCGAATATCCATAAACCTCCAACCTTATACACAAATCTTCACCCCTGACGACGAGTTTGTTCGTACAAAATTTTCTTTTAATTGTTGTTGTGCTCGACGAAAAGCGACATAATAATTCTTTCAATCATAAGATCAATGAAAATAAATCTCTTTTACCTGTATTTATATTTTCTTCGATTTTTCTTCATTTTTAAAGATATTATGTTTTATTGATTATTATAAATACTTGAAACAAATAATTAACAAATTATATGAAAACAAATATTTGATTCAAATGAAAGATAACGCATGTCGTCGGGGTTGAAAGATATATATCCTGACAAATCCATCTCACGTATCGTTAATCAATAACCAGTAATCACACCTCACGAATTGATTTCCATCACCATCCATTGTCATTAATACGTCATTACGCTTACGGCTCGGGCCCTGCGTCACCATTTTCTATCATCAACGTGTTCTCGTTGGGACCTTAACTCAAACAGATAAAGAGAAAACATAATCACAAGATAAAAAGAGACAATTATTGTAATTATTATTTATGATTTTCGAACTAAATGTTACAATGCTAAACCAACGAGATCACGATCGTATAGCTCACGTATCCTGAGACTAATCGCACATCCTTATTTTCCTTAATATAAATCCATGCCGGAGCCTTCGTCCTACCTTTCCAAAAGACACACAGTGTGTATTACATTTACGTTGCTTTGGCTCTCTGGGAATGCATCGGTATCTCGTGGACCCCCGAGGTTTGCTTGACTTGACCGAATCATAAAGGTAACAGTTTGCACCTTTCCTTATTTTAATCGTTTTAAACGAGGAATCGAAAAAAGAAAGTGAAAAAAAAAATATATCAATTAAACGATCTCTCGATTATCTTCTGGCCTGCGTGCGTTCGTGTATGTGAGCATTACATATCTCTTATTGCATGTTCTTTTTTATATTATACAACTTAGATCTCTGTTTGCATATATACATATATAAATATACATTCTATATCTCTCTCACTCTCTCTCTCTCTATCTATCTCTCTCTTTCTTTTCCTCACACACACACTCACACTTTCTTTCTCTCTCTCTCTCTCTTTATATATATATATATCTATATATATTTTTCATACATAATTATATACCTACGTAATATACATATTATTCTCTTGATTACGTAATTCAATGTTTCGTATACCTAAATTGCGAGCACGCCACTACGCTCACGAGCAGAAACTTCCACCAACTTTGCGCTGGTTCTCCTTTGGGCTCATTGGAAGGCAGTCTTTTTTATTCTCTTTTGCATGCTTTATCACCATCTTTCTATTTCTCTTTCTCTGTCTGTCTGTCTGTCTCACTCCTTTCTTATCTTTCCTTTTTCACAATGGGGCGAGAAAGTTACCGATTTAGATTTTCAAAGCTCGAATGTTACGAAAGAGAAACGAAAAGAAAAAAGATTAATTATGTTAAAAAAAATTGTAGAGACAAATATAAATAGATGCTTAATTTGATATCAAATTTCGATTTTAATTCGAGTATGAAATTCGATAGTCGAAATATTCGTGCCTCGTTGTGGATCGGTAATGTAGATCAGTAGTACGTATATTATTATATTAAATTTGTATTTATTAAACTAGTCGTTAGAAGCGGGTACTTATATATTATCTATATCTACATATATATACATATATCTACATATATATATATGTATATATATTATACGCCTTTCCACTATACATATTAATACCGGTGCTCTCTGCCGATAAATGCTCACCCACTCTCACTTGTATCCTGCCCACCTGCGCCTTTTCTTACGAGAGTTCTACTTCTTTATCACGCCACGTTTTTAAACGAGTATTATATTATACTTACATCATTACGTATATACATTACATATTATTATATTGTCGCACGCGTCGGTGCGTGGCCGATATTTTTGCCGTTCTGTAAAACGTTGAAATTCCCACTCACAGTATCTCGCTTGTGCAGCGTTTTTCACCACTGTAAGAGTAGAACCCGCTAAACAGAGCTATCCAATTGATTACCCAAAATTTATTGTACGTATCGATGCGCGGCGGGCAATAGATACAGATATACAAGGAGAATATAATCATCTAAATTAATCCTAACGCTTAATTGACAAAATGCCACGCGATGACTGAAATATCTTATTGATTTATGGTCATCGCGTACAATATTGTATTATTAATTGTAACGTCTGGCATCGACACAAGTTATTAAACCAAACTCTCCTCTATCTCATCCACTAACCTTCATTCACTCTATTGTATAATATATCTTTATCACTATTTCTCTCTCTCTCTCTCTCTCTTTCTCTCTCTCTTTCTCTCTTTCTCTCTTTTTCTCTCTCTCTCTCTCTCTATCTCTCTCTCTCTCTTTCTATCTATCTCTATCTCTATCTCTATCTCTATCTCATAAAATTAATCTCCATTTTCCATAAAACGAAAGAAAAATATAATAATCAAGCTAACTCAATTTTTGCATCATCAAGAATAGATTATCGATTGAACTCTATAATATATAAAGTGAAAAAAAAAAGAAAAAAGAAAAATTTTAAGAAAGGGAACGTTGCTTATTCGTCGACGAAACAATCAATTTCAAATTTCACTTTATTTTCCATATGAAATATGTACACATAGAAGATTGATCGATAATTAGGTAAAGCTTCGTCTACGAGCTCGTTCTTTTTCAGTGTATCTTTGTATATTCTTGTATTTTTTTATATATTTTTTTTTTATTCTTCTAACGACGTACCTGTCTTTAAATCGCTAACGACCAGTAAAAAAGAAAAAAAAAAAGAAAAAAAAAAAAAAANAAAAAAAAAAAAAAATAAATTTAAAAACCGCGATAGAATTATCTAAAGATGTACGTTCTAATTTTCCAGTTCCTCCACGATGGATCGTTGAACCAACAGACAGTATAAGTGTCGAAAGGAACAAGCACGTTGCTTTGCATTGTCAAGCACAAGGTGTACCGACTCCTGTTATCGTTTGGAAAAAAGCTACAGGTAAGTATTCGATACGAAAGAAAAATAAAAAAGAAAGAAAAGAAACATAAGCAGAAAATAGTAAACGTTACTCTTGGAAACGAAACTTAAAGCTTAAGGCGTTGTTAATCGTAGGAAGCAAATCTGGTGAATACGAGGAGTTTCGAGAACGAGCGTACACTAAAATTCTAAGCAACGGAACCCTCCTCTTACAACACGTGAAAGAGGACAGGGAAGGGTTTTATCTTTGTCAAGCGAGTAATGGTATAGGATCTGGCATAGGCAAAGTGGTACAATTAAAAGTTAATTGTAAGTATTTAATAAATTGTTCATATTAAATATTTGACGTTTAATATTGAATTATTTGTTATTGTAATTTACAACATAGCATCGCCATATTTCGCTGCACCTTCGCGATTGGTCACGATTAAGAAAGGAGACACTGCTACGTTACATTGCGAGGTACACGGTGACAAGCCAGTAACCGTAAAATGGTTAAAAGGTGGAAAAAGTGAATTGAATCCTTCGACGAATTATCGGTAATATTGATTAATTTATTTATTCAATACTTTCTTGTATTTTTGATATAATAAAAAGAGTTAAATTATATTAGATTATAGAATAAAAGAGTGAACTTTTGTTAAAATAAAACCTTGGATAAAATTGATAATTTTCCATGAAAAGGGTCACCGTAAATCAGGAAGCAACGCCCGACGGTGTTATCGCCCAAATGCAAATTTCCTCGGCGGAAGCATCCGACAGTGGAGCATATTTCTGTCAAGCTAGCAATCTTTATGGCCGCGATCAACAACTCGTACAACTCCTCGTACAAGGTAAAAATAATTTAAGTTAAGATAAATGAAATCGTGGGTTAAAAAAAATATTAATTTTGATCTTCCTCGCGTATAGAACCGCCACAGCCACCGAACACTTTAGAAACAGCTATGATCGCTAGTCGAAGTATTAACGTAAAATGGCAACACAAATCTCAAGATACCAGCGAAGTTACCAAATATATACTTCAGTATAAGGAAGGCGAAGGTAATAAAATCACTTGTGCAATATAATAGTAATTAAATTAAACGTAAATTCGTTGGTACAGGTGGTATGTGGCAACAACAAGAATTTGTCGGACCGCCTTTACCCTATGCCGCGTTAATCGATGATCTTAAACCTGCTACAAGATATACGATACGAGTAATCGCTGAAGGACCAGCAGGTCGTTCGGCTCCTTCAGCAGAACTCTTGGTAAGAACCGAACCTCAAAGACCAGCAGGACCCCCTGTTAATCTTGCTGCAAGAGCACTTTCTTCATCGGAAATTTTGATTACTTGGTCACCACCGTTGCCCGAACTTCGTCACGGAGACATACAAGGCTTTAACGTCGGCTATAGAGAGACTAGGTAATGAAATTTCTTCCTTCATTAACCCGTTCCGAACTTCATTGAATTCTCTTTCTATTCTATTGAAAGTAAAATAAGGAAGAATTCATTATAAAACGATTAAAGACAAATTCTCAAGAAAATAAAAGTCTTAAACGATCTTTCTAGCTCAGGAAATCCATCGTACAACTTCACTTCTGTATCCGGAGATGGCGAAGAAGGGGGTGGTGAACTTCGTTTGACGGGTCTTCGACCTTACACGAGATATTCCTTGGTCGTTCAGGCATACAATCAAGTCGGATCTGGACCTTTATCCGAGCCATTACTAACGCAGACATTAGAGGATGGTGAGACTCGAAATTACCTTCCGGCGAGATCGATATGACGCTAACGTTGATTGCTACAAAGCTTCAGAACTTGCTCCCTTTCAGTTCCCAGTAAACCACCGGAAGATGTAAGATGTGCAGCGCTTACTTCGCAATCTCTGCAAGTATCTTGGCAGCCACCCTCTAATACACATAGTAACGGCATTATTCAAGGTTATAAATTAAATTACGAGCCGATTTTATCAGACACGTGGCGTGGCGTTAACGAGATGGAAGTAAGTATTACCTCCTGAAAAAAAATCTAATTAAAAATATAAAAATAATATGTTATCTTAAATTAATTTATGTATATATATATATGTATATATATACATGTGTGTATATTTTTGTTAGGTACGTAAAACTAGCGCTTTAACGATAGTTCTAACAGATCTTAGAAAATACACGAATTACACGATACAAGTACTGGCCTATACGAGAGTAGGGGATGGAATTCCTACAACTGTTACTTACTGTCAAACCGAAGAAGATGGTATCATTATTACAGCTATTCTGCTTTATCCTTATTGTCCTGAGTCTAATTTAACGTTATTACAGTACCTGGAAGTCCAGCGGATATTAAAGTGGTCGTGAGTTCGCCCCAGGCTCTCTTTATTTCCTGGTTACCACCATTGGAGCCCAATGGAATTATCACGAAATACAATCTCTATACTAGGTATATTATAATTGAATTTAATTTATAAAAATCATGTTTTAATTTTATCTTAATTATAATGATATTAATTATACCATAGAGTTGTCGACGGTCAGGGTGAATTAAATCACGGCAAGAGAAACTTACCAGCTACGAATACTCATTTCGAAGCTACAGGTTTGCAACAACACGTAGAATATCAATTTTGGGTAACAGGTATTACTCGAGTTGGCGAAGGCCAAAGTTCGAAAGTAGCTGCTCAAGTACCAACTAATAGAGTACCAGCAAGGATCACGTCCTTTGGTGGTCACGTCGTAAAACCATGGAGAGGCTCAGCTACCTTATCTTGCAATGCGGTTGGTAATCCTACTAGAGAATGGTTCAAAGGACCCCTCGAACAAGTTAGAATTGATACTGCTAGAAATGCACAAATTTTACCAACCGGCGAACTCGTCCTGTCAAATTTACAATCACAAGATTCTGGAAATTATACCTGCCAAGTAAAAAACACTGAAGGAAGCGATAAATTACATTACACTCTCACCGTACAAGGTAACATATCTTTCTATATAATACAATATCTGCATACTTAAAATTGTATCTCTTTGTATTTATACTTTTCCTAGTTCCACCTAGTGCACCTGTATTGTACGTAACAAGTTCAACGTCAAGTAGTATACTACTACATTGGAAATCTGGTTATTACGGAGGGGCTCCTTTAACCGGTTACACGTTACATTATCGTACAACTCATGGCAATTTAGATGAGTTGCATCTCTCTAAACATGCTACTAATCACGAACTAAAGGTACGCTTTCAAAATAAGTGTTTTGAATACGTTGAAATTCAAAAAGTAATATTTGCTAATTCTAAAATTTAACAGGGCCTTCTATGTGGGAATACTTATCAATTGTATCTAACATCGCATAATAAAATTGGTAGCAGTCCTTCGTCACCGGTACTTTCCGTACGAACTCAAGGACAAGCACCAGGAATACCACCATCCGCAGCTTTTCTTAGTCCTAACTCGACAACGTTGGTTCTAAGATTACATGTTTGGCCTGACAATGGGTGTCCTATTCTTTACTTCGTTATTCAATATAGACCTGCGACCGAATTTCATTGGACTTTAGTCTCTAACAGCGTTAAAATGCAACGAAGGTTCACCGTGACAAATCTAACACCAAGTACGGTATATCAATTGAAGGTCGAAGCTCACAACGTTGCTGGAAGCAATCAGGCGGAATTCAGTTTCGTGACTTTGACAAAGGAAGGTGGTAAGCTCGAATGACATTAATAATTATCACTTGAATTGCTTGAAAATGTCATCATTCCGCTCATTAATCAAAATTGGTGAAATAATTAAATTGAAAGAATTATATCCAAAAAGCACTGTGTTCCTGTAACATTGCAGAACCACCACCTCCAGAATTATCGAAACGTGGAATATCATCTGTTATTCCATTCTACGCGGATGTGAAAGTTATATTGCCTCTGATATTCGCTACAATTGCTCTAGTCACGGCGGCCGTAATAGTCGCATTCCGTTGGCGAAACAGTAAGTTTTCTTAATGAGAAATAACGATTGAAACTATAATACTAAAAAGAACTCAAATACAATTGAGATCATATTTTAGGATATTTGGGAGACCGAGTTCAAAGACCGATGAAGGAATCTCAAGAAAATCAACAAAACGCTGAAACACAACGAGAACGTTATTACGCTACTATTCACAAGGTCGCCCTGCAACAGGCAGCGAGTACGGGTGCAGGTCCCGACAAGATTCCAGGTGAACCTTTGTTACGATACGGACGACAGCCAGGTTTGGTACTATAATTATTGTACAGGTAAAATGCGCGTCGCTCATCCAATCATGCGAATTTCATGATGCAGCAGTAGGTCGATAAGTGAACGATATTCAAAGAATTAACTGAATACAATTTCGGTTCGGTCATTCTTCGAATATCTATCGGAAATCGATCGCTGAATGTATAACGCGTAACATCAAGGTATAAAGAGTATCATCATTCAACATTTAATTCTGTCGAAGTCTCTCTCTCACTCTAGATATATGGATAACCAGAATTATTGGTCAGACGCGATTTGAAAGGTAGGCAATGCCTCTAATGGGTTACAGAGACAGCGGAGGACATCTCGCCGTACGCTACGTTCCAGCTTTCGGAGGGTGGAGGGGGAAGCCTGGCAGGGCTGGGAGGATTGGGAGGACTAGGAGGCGCGGCGGAAGCATCAGCGGCAGGTCTACATCCGAACAACACTCTTCTTCACAGTTTCATGTATCACGAGCACGCTATGACCGAGGGCTGCGCGAGTCCTCCGCCAGCGGCAACGGTACGCATTCTTATTTTATGAAGTTAATCAATTTGACGAAAATTATATAGTATAATATTTATCGAATTATTATGCAGAGTATGAAGAGTGTCTCGTCGAGGAGACGACAACAGAGAAAGCAACAGACCCCGGGCGACGTCGAGAGCGACGAGAGCGAGTCTGACCCGGATCAGCTGACGAGTTCTCGCACAGAGTCTTCCAATCAACTCGACGCTGGCAAACTCAAACACAGTACGTTAGATTATTTTTAATCATTTTTATGATTCATCTTATCGAATTGTGATTATAACAAAAAATCATTCTTCAGTTCGAGCCGTTTCAGACTTCATTTATCACGGTACATCGAGCACTTCATCGGACATCTCACCGATGTCGGAACAGAAGTCGTTGCCACGAAGAGGACGATCTAGGTAATTAATACATCTCGTTATTGTTTACTTAAAAAGAAACTATCACCACAAACCATAACTCTTTGCTATTGTTTTATACGTATGCATGTATAAAGTATACTAAATAAGCCACAAAAGTATCCTTTATAAATATCACATATACGTAAAAATAGTTTAAAGCTAATTTATTTATTCTATAACTTATACATCACATATACGTATGTGATAAAACAAATTATATAAAATAGCAAATCAATAATATTTTTCATTTATCAATGTTTAATTTAATTTAAATGGTTCTTCAATTTCGTTGATATATGTTTTAACATTAAATCAATTTTGATCATTATTCTCGTTCTATAACTTTATCATTTCTTATACTTTTAATAAATTTTTGTTTATAATAGTTTCTAATTTGCATAGAATAAATTTGATTTTTGTTTGTACGGCTATCTTTTTAGATGGCATGTTCCCAGCAGGAGTTCACTGCGTACGTTGCTTCCTCCAATATCGGTTGCGGAGACTGCTTTTGTAGCAGGAAATCAAGGCAACATCGTACCGCCACACGGAAATGGTGATCGTCCTGAGCTGAGCGAGGCCGAATGTGACATCGATTCTTTAAAAAAGCTCAAACTAGGCCTGAGGAGTTCCCTTTGGTCAAGACCGAGCACTCAAAATAATCCTTCCTCCGATTACTCTATCGCCGTCTAACTTTCTGCGCGTTACCACGATCGACCGAATAATCCAAATTCTCTTCCAGAAGACCCTTTCATCCCTTTTCGTGGTCCAAGTTATAAATAAATAAAGAATACAATTTAATCTTCTTTCCGTGTCTCGTCAAAAAGCTATGATACTTTTTAAATAAACAACATCGAATAAAATACAGAGAGAGAGAGAGAGAGAAAGAAAGAGAAAAAAAGAAAGAGAAAGAAAAAGAAAAAGAAAATATAGCAAAACTTAACGTAATGACGACCGATTTAAAAAGACTTTAAATGACACGGTGACGAGAAACGCTATACATTAAGCATGTGCATGTTAAAAAAAAATGGGCGTGCGTTGACACGATCTATAGAAATTTCTAATCATATATACGCGTGAGTGCCAAAGAATATAAAAGTAAGGAAAGAAATGAAATAATATACTCGTATAATTTGAAAATCATCTAATGCGATGAAGGGATGCAAGGTGACACCGAAAAAAGATATTGGTCTTCTTCGTCCTTCACGTACCTTCGTAATATATACTATATATATATATAGTTCTTATGATCACTTTATTCGAGAGAGAATAATCGAAAGCACATATCGATCGGTTATCAAAGGATGATAGCCATATATCGGCAAAATTTTCAACTCTTTTTACGCAAAATGTAACGTATCGGAATCATTGGGATACGTTTAACGAGACTGATTTTTATCTCTAGTTAATACAAATTTTCTGAATAATTTATTCAACACGTTTCCGATAAGCGACATCTTTTTGTACGGTGTCACATTTCTTCCTAGCATCGCAACGAAGCACTTAAACGGACAGTGCAAAGAGCCAAATAGAAGAGAATATAACATGTAGGTCGAGGGATTGATAAAGATAAAGAAAAAAAAAAAAAAAGATAATGAAAATTAGTGGAACGAATGAATAGAAAGATGGAGATGATTTTCGTCCTCTGGACGAGACTCGATGAATCGTTGGACTCTGTTACATTGTAAGAATTTATAAGGTACGAGTACACATCGTTAATTACTTTAAGTCCGTTACGATCACGAAAAACTTCTAAATAGGACGTTTTTCCGTGCGACGAAAATAAGAATCTAGTAAGAATAATAGAGTGTACTTTATCCAACTCTACAAATTATTATTGTTCACTCTTCGAAGCGAGATTTAGAGGTAAAAAAAAAAGAAAAATAGATAGAAAGGTGGAGAGCAAAATAAATAAATAGATAATGAAAGAAAAAAGGTAAACGATACAGGAGAATCGCAGGAAAGTGTAATCTCTCTTCGAATGTCGCGCACGCTCGTAAAAAAGAAAAAAAAGAACAAAAAGGAGAAAAAAAAAATTCATCTAATTACTAATTAAAAGAAAAAACAGAAAAGAAAATATCACTAAACATCGCTGTTGCTATCCTGCGTTTGTTCGACTTTCGTTCGGCCGGTAATAAGAGAAAGAAAGAACAAAAATAATCATTCAATTTTTGTCGAATCGGTGACCGTAAGTAGTCGTCGATAGAGTAAATAAAGGTTGAATCTTTAACAATTCGAAGTTCCAAAAAAACTTTCACGACACTGCCAGTCTGCAGACTACTATCGAATGAATCCAATCCAATAATAACCTCGACTGATCTTCATTGTCTTTGGTAACAATCACATTATTTCCGAAAGACTGCTTTTGGCGTAAGAAACAAAAACTGCGCTAACACTTGGGAACACTATACCAAGATTAATAATTATTAATAAGATATTCATTGGCCGATTATGGTCATTACTTTCCTAAACTAACATAAAATGGTGCGCGACAATGCGAAGACGAGGCCGAATGGTATATGCGTATGATGAATGTATGAAAGAGCAAGGACGATTCAATTTTGTTGAAGATAACGTTTCGTCTCTTAACCTATTTTTTTTTTTTTTTTTCAAAATTGACGATACGATTTCAAGATACATACATATATAGTATATAAAACTAAAGCAAACAAAACCACCATTCCAAAATATCTTCAACAAAATTTTATCGTCGTTCTTCAAAGAACTCGAAGCAAAGATGCGCGTTACGTATTTACAGAGGATACGTACGTTGGTGTATATAAAATAATAAAAAAAGAAAAAAAAAAAAAAGAAGCACGTCAATCAAACTCGTAGAGTTCGATTTGAATTCGTTAGAATCATTTACCGGGAAGCGGGTATTGTTTACGAAGAAAAAAAGGCGCGTTTAAAATCGGGCACTCGATCGTCCGCCGAATTTTTGTACATTTTTTCATTGCGGTCGAATTTCGTCGATCCTTTTTTTCTACGTTGACGATTCGGTGAGGCAGATTACAGTGCCACGAATTTACAATGCGGGATTATACGATGGCCGTTCATTAAATATGTTAGCGAGATATTTCGAGGAAAAAAATGACGGAATTTTTCTTCTAAAAAAAAAAAAAAGAAAAAAAAAGGTTAAGAAAAGATTTTGACATTATGCAATATATATGTGAAATAATTGTTCGTCGTATATTTCTAGCTGTGTCATTTTGAATCTTCTTCTCAGCTTCGCAACGATACATCATTATCATTCTATACACTGAAATAAAATAAAAAATGACACGATTAAATCTCGCTAAATTATTTCATAAACGACCCTCGTACGTATAGCGTACGGTATTTATATACATATGTTTTATCATATTGGGTCGATCAATTCTATTGATCTCCTTACGAATAATATCTTTGAAAGTTAAAATTAAAATCTATTCGTTGGCGTTCGATCCAGTTTCCGATCGCGATTCGAAGTTACCGTCTTCTTTCGATCGTCGACTTTCTCGCGCAGAACGAAGAAAAAGACTAAATGAGATGTGAGAGCAAATCAAACAAACGATTATTACTATACTATTATTAATGTCGTTGTAAAAAGTATCTTGCGCGAATGTGGTATGCTTGTGCAAACGATCTAAGAATCTCATTTCCCTCCCCTTCCCTGCCCAGCGTCACCCGACCCCTCTTTTCCCCCTTTGAAGTATCATCTCGAACTAAAATAAGAGAAAAAAAATGGAGGGAAAGAAAGAAAGAAAGAAAGAAAGAAAGAAAAAAAAGGAAAGAAAGATGAAAAAGCTCATCGTGATTTTAATTGTCAATAAACTGATATCTCCGCTAACTGCCAAGTTTCTCTTCCGTTGCGAGACTGCGATTAAACGACGTAAATAAATAAATGAACTGGAGCATTATTCCACTCTAACCGTATTCAAAGTCGACGGTATAAAGTTTCGAAGCACTGCGTCGATCGTAGAATCGATTAAATAAATTGATATCGTGTAAAACAAATAATCCGTTTTTTTCGTTATATATCATTTTCTTTTATATACAAAAGTATACAACAACACCATCCTAAACGAAAAAGATAACGAGAGAAGTTGAATAATCCAATCGAATAAAATATCGACTCGTTTAAAATCCTGTAAGTTCGGCAAAAGTGGAATCCATATCGTTGCACATATACCTGTACTTCTCCTTTTCTTTAAACAAATAATCTGAAACATATACGTGAGTATATATAAACGTTAATATCTTCGAAGTTAAATTTTAAGATAAAAAGAAAGAAAAAAGGAAGAAAAAGAAAGTCAATTTAATTTTCCCACCTTCTCTCGAATCTAATTCCTTAACAAGCACCTTGACGGCTTGCTCGGCTATTATTGCCCGCTTCTCAGCCGATTTTAATTTAACTTTCAATTCCTTCAATTGCGCTTTGAATGCCTCCACTCTTCGATTGGCCTATAAGGATAAAAATAAAATACCGTAGAATTACGATCGTATTTGTCGATGTTACGTAAATTGTGTCTTACCTTTTCTTCTGATACTTCCAAGGACTTCAATATATTACCGACGATAAACAATTCGTCCTCGCGTTCGGCGATTTTGCTACGGACAAAAATGTAAGTATAGAATAAAAGTTACATTTATTATAATATAGCGTTATTATTATATATATAAGAACGTACCCTTCGCTCGATTTAACTCTGTCTTCTGCGGCTTCGAGTTCATCCTCCACAAAAGCCAATTTTCGTGAAATCTCGTCGGATTTAGTATCGGCATCTTCGGCAATAAGTCTAGCTTCTTTTAATTGTGCTGTTAATTGATCCATCCTTTCCTCATCCAATTTGCTTCTATTCTCCAGAACTTTACAAATTCTACGTAAAAAAATGTTTTTCTATTGTAAATAATAATATAAAGAATATTAGAAATCACAATAAATTGAAATCTCGTGACATACCGTTTTGCATCTTCCGCAGTTTCCACTGCTTCCGTTAACTTATTTTGTACAACTAATCGTCGTTCTTCAGATTTTTCTAAATTTTGCGAACACTGTTGCATCTTTCTATTCAATATCGCCAATTCGGATTGCGTCTGAAAACATTCGAATGATTATAATATAAATAAGAACAAGAAAAGAAAGAAAGAAAGAAAGAAAGAAAACGAAGGATATTTTGTAAATTGTTCACTGACCATGATATAAATACTTTCCTTCAGTTCGAGACTCTTAATCGATTTTTTTAATTGTTTTTTGCTCACTTGTAAATCATGTTCCATTTGAATGAATTTCTTTGCAAGTTCTTGTACACCATCCTTTAATTTTTCTTCCCTACGATTAGCTTCCTTTGCCTGTCGATCGCACACGTCAGCTTTATCTATCGCCAAATCTTTTTCGACCTTCAACGTTTGCAAACGTTTCTTGATCGCGTTCATAGTTCGATTGAAGTCTATATCGATATACTATGTGTATATCACGATAATAAAGTAACAACGAACCTTCTAATCCAAAGCTCGCGGGTTACTGCACTCGATGACCGATCAAGACAATGCTTTATAGACTCGAAGAAATGCAAAAGAAACAATGCGCCAGGTTCTTTAGTTAGACTCAAACGAATTCTTCGACTAGTTCGCGTGTTGGTCTGATTTATTCCGCCCGTTTACAACAACTGACCGACGATAACTCGTATAAAAAGAAATAGACGAAAAAATAAGTAGCTCTTTTCCAAGCGTATTTCTTCGATAGTAGTTATACAGTTTTCTCGTGATAGATGATAGGTCTACTCACAAAAGCTTAAGTCTTAGTATTTATAACTAATAATCGAGAATAATCGTAGTAGATAGCAATTTTGTCGTGATAGGCATTTATTGAAAATACAGAACTGAATACAACAATAAAAAGGGAAAGAAGAGTAGTATCGTACTTTTTTTTTGTCACGTATCGCGATCTCGCCAAATTTATCCACGTAGATGCTTCTGAAAGAAAAGAGGCGACGTATCAGTTCTATCTGAAGAAAGTATCAGTTTCTCAAGCGACCGTGAGCCAGTATTCACTGACCCCGTAGATCTTGGCAAGGTGTTATGCATAGAGCAAAGCAGCTACGATTAAGAACTAACAGCGTGCATACCTTCTACGACAGTTAACTTATCGCGAAGCAAATTATATTAAAGCCATATAAGTATTCCTTAATAGATTAAAATAATGACACGAATCAGCATATAAGCACATCGGACAAAAATGAAAGGACGTCCATGTTAGATGTAGCAAATAAGCGGAAAAAGCGCTTAAGATGTAATAAAATAATGTAAAATCGAATTCTTCTAGACGATATCAATAACCCGTCATTTCGGCGAACGTGGCATCCATGTCGTCACAAACAGCCTTGTATTTCTCCTTCTCCTCTCTGAGCTCGTCTGTAAATCAACGTGCGACGTCAAATTTATGTTCCAAGTTAATTTAACTTTCGCTCATTCTTAACCGATATAATTACAATTGTGATAATACCTTCTTTGGTATCTACTTCCTTCAATAATAACTTGACTGTCCTCTCGGCAAGAATAGCACGTTTCTCGGCTTCCTTTAATTTCTTCTTCAGTGACTTTAACTGCACTTTAAAATCCTCCACTCGTTGATTCGCCTACAATTAAACGCCGTTACGCATCATTGTTATCAACGTAACTGTGAAAGATACGTAACTTACCTTTTCCTCGGATACCTCCAACGACTTGACAATATTCTGCACGATGAATAATTCGTCTTCTCGCTCAATGATCTTACTGTTGAAACGAAAATATTTCGATTTAGATCAAGTTGTTATAGTTCAGAATACTCGACATAACATCATTCGACGAATAATGTATACTAACGCTTCGCTCGTCTTAACTCTTTCTTCCGCGCCTTCGAGTTCCTCTTCAACGAATTGCAATTTCCTTGAAATTTCATCTGATTTCGCATCAGCATCTTCGGCTATCAACCTCGCATCTTTTAATTCCGTCAACAGCTTTTGCGTACGTTCTTCGTCGAGTCGACTCCTATCCTCCAACACTTTGCACATTCTGCAGAAAGAAACTGCAATTAAGTATTCTTCGGTATTCTTCAACGATTATCAATCATCCTTCTCTAAACTGTGTGTGTGTTGTGTGTATAATAGATTTGTCGTGTTATTGCTCAGAATCTAATGGTCACTAAATGCAAACCTTTGTGCATCATCAGCGAGTTCCGTCGCACGACCAAGTTTCGTCTGAGCGGTAAGACGTAATTCTTCTTTCTTAGTAAGAGTCGCTTCAATTTCCTGAACCTTTTTCGTCAACGACGTTCGATCTTGTTCAGCCTGTTAATATAACAAAATCAATTCATTCATTCATTCATTTTTAACCGAGAGAAAATTGATAAAAAGAGGAATAAAAAATAAAAATCATATTTACGCACTCTAGACCACGATTTTTCGCATTGTTCCAAATCGGCGGTAGATTGTTCAAGCTGAGTCTTCGTTAATTCGTAATCCCTCTCGAGTTGGTCCAATCGTTTCTGCAAATCTCTCAAATCATCATTCAATTTATCAGCTCGCATATTTTCTTGCTTCGCTTTATTTTCATTCAATTCGACTTTTTCATTCGCGGTGTCCATCTCCATCTTCAACGCCGCAATTTTCTTCTTAATCGCCTCCATGATGATGGGCGGCTCTTGGCGTCTTTCTTACCGATGATCTTTCTCAACTTTCTAAACCTAATAAAGACAAGAAAAATATAATAAATATAAAAATAAAACTTTAATACCGCGAATGCATAGATCATGCATAGATCACGTAATATGAAATGACCATTAACACTTGTTCTTTCTCTGTAATGTAATAGTTATTTACTGTACGTTAGAAAAAAAGATCTTCTACAAAAACATACAAATAAATTTCATGAATAACACGATCATATTTAATAACGATAAGTCGTAATACCGAAGAAAAGTTAATGATTTTTTATTAAGTTAAGAGTATATCACTTACTGTGATATTGTAGCGATGATCCACGATGTGAGAATGCACAACCGGATGCCTTCGAAAGCTAAGCTAAAATAAAACGAAACCGGTGTGGCACGGGCCTCCACGAACTCTTCGATCGAATCCAATTCTATAATTGCTTGGCAACTTTGGCTATGGTCCCGATTTTACCCTGGCTCTTAACTGGTCGATCCTCCTCACTATACTGACTACTAGCCGCGAAACGCGATCTCCGTCTTCCCATGCTATTCTCGGCCTCTAAAAGAATCTCGTTCCTGTTTTCTGATTGACCACGTAACCGAGTGGCCATTGTAAACAGCGAACATTGGGAATGCAATATCCGATGCATTGTTCTTCGTCACTGTACTCAATTTTTCAATTCATCAATTTCATCAATTTTCTTCTAATTGAACATTCGAATTTTCCCGCTCATACAGTTACCGATCGACCAATCGAATCGCAAAGCATACGTGAAATTAAACCTAACTCAAACGCGCCAGAGACAAACTTTTGAAAATTAGGAGGCAATTGGAACGAAGATTTTAAACGGAACGAGCTTGGGTTGAACAAAATGGACTGCAGAATTTTAAGTGCAAATAACTTCACTACTGTATGTATACATATATCAGTTACAATACGTGTCATAACAGATCAATTTTATTCTCGATCTAATATCCAGAACATAGTTTTAGAGAAGAATTAAGTTTTACAAGACGTATATATATTTACGTTCTTAGATTATGCATAAGGTTTTGTTATTATATAATACAATACATAGAATTTAACATAAATTTTGTGTATGTGTGTGTATATGTGTATGTAAGGAGTACGGTTAAAATTAAAAGAAAAAAAAAATCTAGTACAGATACTGTATATATTTCAGATACTCCCGCTACACCTTTTTTTAGAAACCCTTTAGAACTTACAAATAACTATTTCCTTATGTTTTAAATTTCTTAAATATTTTTCAAACTGCACGCACTTATCGTGCACAGTCTCACTGTTCCAAGTATATCTGTAGACATTTTTTTAATTTTTTTTCTTTTAGTTAATACTATATCACAAAAAGCAAACCTTTTAGAACACAAACTTTTGATAGCGTATCGCAAATTTTCGAAATTCTTGAAATTTTGCATACATAGATACATTAATTGTTCTTCTCATAACAAAAATTAAAAAACATATTTAAATGCTAATAGCAAGCAAAGAGAATACATTTTTACAAAGTCTTAAATAGAATAAAATAGTTATGAAACTGTATGTTTTTGAAATATATAATGTGTAGAAATATAAAATAATATACAAAAACTTTCAAATTCTTATTTTATTCGTAATATTATATTTCATATGTAATTTTTGTGTTTGGCATTTTAATTATTATTATTATAAATATAATATAAACTTAAAATGTATGCATATTTACTTGTCCTTAAAAAGTAACATTCAATCTTCGCGACTTGTAAATACATTAGTACGTTTAAACAATACGTTACGTTATTTGATTAGAACAACGTTTTTAAACGATAAAATTCATTAGAAATTTTCAACCTTAAAAAGAGATATTAAATTCTTTAAAAATTTTTCCTTCCGGAAGTCTAATAATATATATATATATATATATATACATATACTCTGANCCATAAATAAAAGAAGAAGAGGAAAGAAACAAAAAATAATTTAAAAATAAAATTCAATAAAAAGGTAGTCTAATATCCAGAACATACATAAACATCATTATACATACACACATAAATATACATATATATACATTATTTATATATCTCTTAAATACACGTATATATATATATATATATATATACATATACTCTGACAAAAAAAACGTGTATTAAATATTTTATAAAAACTCATGCCCCAGCATGAAATCAATTCACAAAAATTATAATAACATAATAAGCATGTAATCCATAGGTAGATAATGGAAAAATTTCTTTTTTTTTTTTTTAATTTACCGTAACTACTTTCTAAATTACTAACCAAGTTATATATTACTAGTGAAATTTTTAGTATAAAGTCCTTCGCAGCTATACGTAGCAATATAATAAGAAATGTACAGCTTATACAAACTTATCACACAGCATACTTAATTTTAAAAATTGTGCAAATTTTTTTCGTTTTCATTCACATACAAATATTATATACAGACTTCGCTAAATGAAAACAGTGCATATTGACAACTGATATTTGATAAGGTACTGTTATATGGATACCAAAAAAGCTTTCGAAAGAATATCGATATCAAATTGAATATTATTTTATTTCTATTTATATGTGTGTAGTATGAAATGTTTCTTTTTTTATACTAACGCATAACATTTAGAAATATTCATGGATATAAATTTTTGGGGTATTATAACGGTACTTTTGTTTTTGGCTAGATATGTAGCATATTGATTTGTTTTCCTACCTTCGAAAAGACTGATTCTTTTTTTATAGCATTGTAAAGAATGATAACATGATGCAAAAAAATTTGTATACTAATGCGTTAGAATGCAATTTAGAGAAATAAGATTTCTTTAAATAATCTACAGCAATATTGTATAATACATATAATACCTATTATATATTTATGTCAATGCAATGAACATGACACGAATGTTGTATAAAGACAAACGTTTTCTCTGTACCTTTAAAAAGTATAGTTTACTGATTGAAGATGTAATCGCGTACATCCTTAAATCCAGCTGTAAAAAATCTTCAACGTTTTTAATTTCGTCGCATAAA